TAACGGCAAAGTTAAGGCCTTTAGAAAGGACAGAAATCATGTCAGTGGTTAAATCAGTGTTAGTCAAGTTCATTACGGTTTTGTTTTTAAATTGTTCGTTTTTAATAGGGATTTGTTTATTGTAAAGTCTAGAAAATTTGTTAATTTGGTTAGCATTTGTTAGATTAAATACATTATCAGCCGATTGTTGTGTTATAGTATCGATTATATTCCAATCATGCATGGACACACTATTGCTTATATTTAAATGTAAATGCTTTAGCGATTCAGAAATGTTGGATAATTCACTCCTGTTGTGTTGTATTCTCTCTATTAATAATAATTCGCTAGCTTTGTGTAGTATTTTGTTAGCCTTAGAAGACTTTATGTGATGTGTTATTTTAACTGCGTTTGGTATTACCTTCGAATCTCTGCACCTTTTGAGGAACGCCAATGAAGATATCAATTTCATCCGCTTAATGCGGAGCTTCTCCAATTGTCTGGTTTTAAGAAAAGTATCCTCCCCATAGAGGTTAGTCAGTTTAACACGTAGGCTTTCGCGACCAATGTTATTCATAATCAACGTTTTTGGGTTTAGATCGCGTTTATTTATAAATGTGTCGTAACCCTCCACCACCCGACACGGCCAATCAGTAAAAATGTGTCACGTTGACAAAGACAAATAGTTCACTGCTTTAGCCCACCGGTGTGTTGAAGCCACAACATTTACAATTTGAGTACGACGTTTCGCTTATAAGGGAAACAACCACTAACTGATTACTAATGTAGCATAATCACAATAAAACACATTCCAAATGATTACTAATCTACAACTCGCATCGTAACAATAGCCTGATTACTAATCTAGTATATAATTACAATCACTCCCCCCTTGAATCTTGGCACCTGATGAGTTAATGAGTTAATGATGACGTCACCCTGCTGCTGCTCTATATAAGAACGGGAGACACAGGAGAGCCTCACCATTCTGGCGAATTGCCCGATGATGCTGGTTGCAATTACCAGCGAAACGTCGTACTCAAATTGTAAATGTTGTGGCTTCAACACACCGGTGGGCTAAAGCAGTGAACTATTTGTCTTTGTCAACGTGACACATTTTTACTGATTGGCCGTGTCGGGTGGTGGAGGGTTACGACACATTTATAAATAAACGCGATCTAAACCCAAAAACGTTGATTATGAATAACATTGGTCGCGAAAGCCTACGTGTTAAACTGACTAACCTCTATGGGGAGGATACTTTTCTTAAAACCAGACAATTGGAGAAGCTCCGCATTAAGCGGATGAAATTGATATCTTCATTGGCGTTCCTCAAAAGGTGCAGAGATTCGAAGGTAATACCAAACGCAGTTAAAATAACACATCACATAAAGTCTTCTAAGGCTAACAAAATACTACACAAAGCTAGCGAATTATTATTAATAGAGAGAATACAACACAACAGGAGTGAATTATCCAACATTTCTGAATCGCTAAAGCATTTACATTTAAATATAAGCAATAGTGTGTCCATGCATGATTGGAATATAATCGATACTATAACACAACAATCGGCTGATAATGTATTTAATCTAACAAATGCTAACCAAATTAACAAATTTTCTAGACTTTACAATAAACAAATCCCTATTAAAAACGAACAATTTAAAAACAAAACCGTAATGAACTTGACTAACACTGATTTAACCACTGACATGATTTCTGTCCTTTCTAAAGGCCTTAACTTTGCCGTTACCCCACGCACAATTCCAGTGGATGAGATAATTGCTGAGGTAGAATCAGCAGTAAGACTCCTTCCACATAATGAGGCAGAGATGACTAGACACGAGGTTGCCAAAATTATTGAGAATAGTAAAGTACCTAAAGTAAATATTAGCTCGAACGAGGCAAAAGCCTTAAGAGAGCTTCGTCTAAACAAAGATATTCAAATCCTAGCAGCTGACAAGGGCCGCACTACAGTAGTGATGTCACGAGCCGATTATGATAATAAAATTAAAGATTTATTAGAGGATAGTACCTACATTAAAATTAAACGAGATCCAACTAATACTTTGGAACGTAAGACTACTGCAATCATTGCAAATTCATTAATCCCAAAAAATGAGCAATTCCTAATGAAGCCAAAGGCTTCAAAACCACCTAGACTGTATGGGCTACCAAAGATCCATAAAGTCGGCATCCCTTTATGACCTATAGTCAGTACAATTGGCTCTGCCACCTATAAATTAGCAAAATATGTAACTAAACAAATTCAGCCTTACATCGGTAGGACATCATCATTCATAAGAAATTCAGAACATCCTGTGAATATGATCAAAGATATTAAACTTAACCCTAATGATATTTTGGTGAGTTTTGATGTGATTTCGCTATTCACTAAGGTTCCAGTGAGCGAGTCGCTTAAATTACTTGATACACTGGTAAAGAATACAGGTTTACCAAAAGATATTCCGAAACTCGCAGACCATTGTTTAAATAACACTTACTTCTTATGGAGAGGCGAATTCTTTAAACAAAGGGAGGGAGCAGCAATGGGCTCTCCTTTATCTCCTGCTATAGCAAATTTGTACATGGAAAACTTTGAAACCAGAGCACTTGCCTCGAGCACATTAAAACCATCCTTTTGGTTTAGATATGTGGATGACACTTTGGTTGTCTGGCCACATGGTAAAGATACACCTAACGATTTTCTAAATCATCTCAATGCACAAAACCCGGCCATTCAGTTCACCATGGAAATGGAGGTGAATAACACACTCCCGTTCCTGGATATTTTACTTGGGCATGGCCCAAACGGTAAAATAACACACAGCGTTTACAGAAAGCCAACGCACACTGATGCCTATCTGAATGCAGATTCGCATCATCACCCAGCTCAGAAATCCTCTCTTATCAAGACGCTCATACATCGGGCTAAAACAGTGTCAGATGGTGAAAGTCTAGTGAGAGAGATTAAACATGTTAAAGAAGCACTAAGACAGAATGGCTACAATAATGCTCAAATTAACAGAGCACTAAAAGCCAAATCACGATCGCAAAGCAACACTGCTGAAAGCGATCAGATTATTCAAACAATAAAAATACCATTTATCTCAGGAGTAACTGATAAATTAGCCCGTGTTTTGCAAAAGCAAAACATTACAGTAAGATTTGGTACAGTACACAAAATTCAACAACTAGTAACGTGCACTAAAGACGAATTACCTAAATTATCAACAGAAGGTGTATATCGGATTAATTGTGTATGTGGCAGATGCTATATTGGACAGACAGGGCGTAACGTTAGTGTAAGACTAAAAGAACACCAGAGAAATATTAAACTATCACAAACACAACTGTCGGCAGTAGCAGAACATGCATGCCAACAGGGACACTCAATTGATTTTGACAACGTGAAAGTGTTGTGTAAAACTAGTTACTACTGGCAAAGACTAATTAGAGAATCGATTGAAATTGAGAGAAACAGAAATAACTTTAATCGCTCAGACAGCTACAGGCTTAGTGCGGCCTGGAAGCGTATTATTAAATAAGATGCATTACAATTACTTATAAGGGAAACAACCACTAACTGATTACTAATGTAGCATAATCACAATAAAACACATTCCAAATGATTACTAATCTACAACTCGCATCGTAACAATAGCCTGATTACTAATCTAGTATATAATTACAATCACTCCCCCCTTGAATCTTGGCACCTGATGAGTTAATGAGTTAATGATGACGTCACCCTGCTGCTGCTCTATATAAGAACGGGAGACACAGGAGAGCCTCACCATTCTGGCGAATTGCCCGATGATGCTGGTTGCAATTACCAGCGAAACGTCGTACTCAAATTGTAAATGTTGTGGCTTCAACACACCGGTGGGCTAAAGCAGTGAACTATTTGTCTTTGTCAACGTGACACATTTTTACTGATTGGCCGTGTCGGGTGGTGGAGGGTTACGACACATTTATAAATAAACGCGATCTAAACCCAAAAACGTTGATTATGAATAACATTGGTCGCGAAAGCCTACGTGTTAAACTGACATTTATATATTTACGCGATCTAACCCAAAAAAACCTGGATTATGGATGATATTGGTCGCGAAATCCTACGTGTTAAGAAGACATGATGTAAACAAAGACAGTCGAGATCTAGAAACTCATAGATAGGCGTCACTAATTGGCCGAGGGCATGGCTCAGCCCCACTTACGAGCACTCGGATTGGCTAAAATTGGCACCCCCGTGCATAACGTAAACATAGCGTTAATCAAAATGTTAAAACGTCAATCGAAACCATAGAGTCCCCTGGGAGGCGAAACGTTCACCGAACAACCGTAAACTGATGTCAAGTTAAGCAACATTTTTTTTTATTAATTGTCATTTGCGCCGACGCCCCCTGTAGTAGCCTCGCAGACCACCATGGGTCCGCGGACTGCAGATTGGGAACCAATGCACTGGGCCAGTGGTTCTCAACCGGAGGTACGAGGTAGACCCCTGAGAGTACGTGAAGTTATTTATAAATGTGTGAAATTATAGCGTACGTCAGAGTCATTGGTGAATAATCATGTATGAATCTGCCAATATAAAATAACTACGATAAAATTTAAATCCATATGGTAATCTAGAACGATATAAAATATCTTCCCAAACTCATTGGCCGTATAAAATGTGGTTTCCAAGAGTAACCAGCATATGCGAACAAATTATGTCATGCATGCAGAGCATACATTCAATATTTTTGTATTCGCTTGCAGTTACTAGCTCGTTGATGTTCATTATTCATTATATTGATGTTCATTATTCACACATTTATTTCTCAGAAATAGGTTGGGTCAGGAGGAGTACAGTAGCCAAAAAAGGTTGAGAACCGCTGCACTAGGCCATAGCCACGGATACACTCGGCCATAGTCAGACACTACTTATGCTCACAAGCCAGCACTGACAGCACTTGCCCCTACAGTTTGTTAAAGGCAGTGCGGGGGACCTTTGTGTGTGTGTGTGCACGTAGGGTTGACCCTGCTGCCAGGCGAGGACCTCGTGTCGCGGGCGCTGTGCATGCTGGGCACCTGTGTGCGCTCCGTCTCCCTGGGAGGAGTGGTGCACCTAAACCTCGGGCTGCCCACGCTGCTCTACGCCCACCTCATCTACCTGCTCTACTGCAAGGCGCGCGAGCGCCGATACCGCGGTGAGCGGCCACAGCAGCGCAGTCATCATCATCATCACCAGCAGCAGGTGGAGAATCATCATCACCATCATCACCAGCAGCAGCAGCAGGAGGATCATCACCATCATCACCAGCAGCAGTGTCATATAAACCTAACCTGGCCATTATCTAATCTAATTCGTATTTATAGACTGCCTTCACTCGAGGCATTTGACAAAGCGTATGATGTAATTATTTAGATGGGAGGTGCGTACATGGGCTGAGGAATGAGCGACAGTAATAGAGGGGTACTTAGGGATCACATTATAATCCTGACCCGGCCATTATGAACCTGACCTGGCCATTATGATGCTGACCCAGCCATGATGATCCTGACCCAGTCTTTAAGAACCTGACCCGCCCATTATGACCGTGACGTGGGTACCGTGACCCTGGCATGGGTGCAGGCATCTACTGCTACCTGGTGCCCTACCTGGTGTGCTTCCTGTGGTGGGAGCTGGCCGTGGTCCTGCTCTGGGACTCCACCGCCCTGGGCCTCCTCAGGGCCTCCATCGGCTACTTCCTCTTTGTGTTCGCGCTGCCCGTGCTCGCCGTGGGCGCTGCTGTCGGGCTCGCCGTGCAGTCCGTGCGCTGGTTCCTCACCCTCGGCCTCACCAAGGTGGGGAACCATGGCAGTAGTGGTGATGGTGGTAATTGTGGTGGTGGAGATGGGGGTAGTGACGGTAATGGTGGTGGCCACGATGACAATATTGTTAATGTTGTTGATTTTGTTGTTGACATTGTTAACATTGACGTTGATGTTCATGTTGTTGACGATGACATTGATGGCGTGGTTGATGATGTTGACGATGTTGTTGACGGTGATGTTGTTGACGTCGAGGTTGTTGTGATCGACGTTGCCGACGTTGGTGATGTCGTTGTTGTCGTCGTTGTTATTGACTTATGTGACTCGCCGGGGCGGCATGGGGAGCAGGTGGGCGCAACGGCACTGCTGGCTGCCGTGCCGTTGGCAGGGTGGCTGGCGTGGCGCCACCGCGCGGCGCCCGTGCAGCTGCTGCGCTCGCTGGGCCGCAGCTCGCTGGTGAAGCTGGCGCTCGTGTGGCTCACGGCCACGGCCGTCTTCTGCTGGCTCTACGTGTTCCGCAGCGAGGGCCTTAAGGTGAGGAGGGGAGGGAGTGAGTAAGTGAGGTAAGTGGTGAGAGTGAGTGGGTGGTGTGAGTGAGGAGTGTGAGTGAGTGGTGTGAGTGAGTGAGTGAGGAGGGTGAGTGAGGAGTGTGAGTGGTGAGGAGTGAGCGAGAGAATGGTGTGTGAGTGAGTGGTGTGAGTGAGTGAGGAGTGTGAGTGAGTGGTGTGAGTGAGTGAGGAGTGTGAGTGAATGAGGACTGTGAGTGAGTGAGTGAGGAGTGTGAGTGAGTGGTGTGAGTGAGTGAGGAGTGTGAGTGAGTGAGTGAGGACTGTGAGTGAGTGAGTGAGGAGTGTGAGTGAGGAGCGTGACTGAGTGAGTGGTGTGAGTGAGTGAGGAGGGAGGCGTGTGACTGAGTGAGGAGTGTGAGTGAGTGAGTGGTGTGAGTGAGTGAGGAGTGTGAGCGAGTGAGGAGTGTGAGTGAGTGAGCAGTGTGAGTGAGTGAGGAGTGTGAGTGAGTGAGCAGTGTGAGTGAGTGAGGAGTGTGAGTGAGTGAGTGAGTGTGAGTGAGGAGTGCGAAGGAGTGAGGAGTGTGAGTGAGGAGTGTGAAGGAGTGAGGAGTGTGAGCGAGTGAGGAGTGTGAATGAGTGAGTGAGGAGTGTGACTGAGTGAGGAGTGTGAGTGAGTGAGGAGTGTGAGTGAGTGAGGAGTGTGACTGAGTGAGGAGTGTGACTGAGTGAGGAGTGTGAATGAGTGAGGAGTGTGACTGAGTGAGGAGTGTGAGTGAGTGAGCAGTGTGAGTGAGTGAGCAGTGTGAGTGAGTGAGGAGTGTGAGTGAGTGAGGAGTGACTGAGTGAGGAGTGTGACTGAGTGAGGAGTGTGACTGAGTGAGGAGTGTGACTGAGTGAGGAGTGTGAGTGAGTGAGGAGTGTGAGTGAGTGAGCAGTGTGAGTGAGTGAGGAGTGTGACTGAGTGAGGAGTGTGACTGAGTGAGGAGTGTGACTGAGTGAGGAGTGTGAGTGAGTGAGGAGTGTGAGTGAGTGAGGAGTGTGAGTGAGTGAGGAGTGTGACTGAGTGAGGAGTGTGACTGAGTGAGGAGTGTGACTGAGTGAGGAGTGTGACTGAGTGAGGAGTGTGACTGAGTGAGGAGTGTGACTGAGTGAGGAGTGTGAGTGAGTGAGGAGTGTGAGTGAGTGAGGAGTGTGACTGATTGAGGAGTGTGAGTGAGTGAGTGAGTGGTGTGAGTGAGTGAGGAGTGTGAGTGAGTGGTGTGAGTAAGGAGTGTGAGTGAGTGAGGAGTGTGAGTGAGTGAGGAGTGTGAGTGAGTGGTGTAAATGAGGAGTGTGAGTGAGTGTGACTGAGTGAGGAGTGTGAGTGAGCAGTGTGAGTGAGGAGTGTGAGTGAGTGAGGAGTGTGACTGTGTGAGGAGTGTGAGTGAGCAGTGTGAGTGAGGAGTGTGAGTGAGTGAGGAGTGTGACTGAGTGAGGAGTGTGAGTGAGCAGTGTGAGGAGTGTGAGTGAGTGAGGAGTGTGACTGAGTGAGGAGTGTGACTGAGTGAGGAAGGAGTGTGAGTGAGGAGTGTGAGTGAGTGAGGAGTGTGAGTGAGTGAGGAGTGTGACTGAGTGAGGAAGGAGTGTGAGTGAGTAAGGAGTGTGAGTGAGTGGTGTGAGTAAGGAGTGTGAGTGAGTGAGGAGTGTGAGTGAGTGGTGTGAGTGAGGAGTGTGAGTGAGTGGTGTGAGTAAGGAGTGTGAGTGAGTGAGGAGTGTGAGTGAGTGAGGAGTGTGACTGTGTGAGGAGTGTGAGTGAGTGAGCATGGTGAGTGAGGAGTGTGAGTGAGTGAGGAGTGTGACTGAGTGAGGAGTGTGAGTGAGTGAGGAGTGTGAGTGGTGTGAGTGAGTGAGAAGTGTGAGTGAATGTGGAGTGTGACTGAGTGAGGAGTGTGAGTGAGTGAGCAGTGTGAGTGAGTGAGGAGTGTGACTGAGTGAGGAGTATGACTGAGTGAGGAGTGTGACTGAGTGAGGAGTGTGAGTGAGTGAGGAGTGTGACTGAGTCAGGAGTGTGAGTGAGTGAGCAGTGTGAGTGAGTGGTGTGAGTAAGGAGTGTGAGTGAGTGAGGAGTGTGAGTGAGTGAGGAGTGTGACTGAGGAGTGTGACTGAGTGAGGAGTGTGAGTGAGTGAGTGAGCAGTGTGACTGATTGAGGAGTGTGACTGAGTGAGGAGTGTGAGTGAGTGAGTGGTGTGTGTGAGTGAGTGGTGTGAGTAAGGAGTGTGAGTGAGTGAGGAGTGTGAGTGAGTGAGGAGTGTGAGTGAGTGGTGTAAATGAGGAGTGTGAGTGAGTGTGACTGAGTGAGCAGTGTGAGTGAGGAGTGTGACTGTGTGAGGAGTGTGAGTGAGCAGTGTGAGTGAGGAGTGTGAGTGAGTGAGGAGTGTGACTGAGTGAGGAGTGTGAGTGAGCAGTGTGAGTGAGGAGTGTGAGTGAGTGAGGAGTGTGACTGAGTGAGGAGTGTGACTGAGTGAGGAGTGTGACTGAGTGAGGAAGGAGTGTGAGTGAGGAGTGTGAGTGAGTGAGGAGTGTGACTGAGTGAGGAAGGAGTGTGAGTGAGTAAGGAGTGTGAGTGAGTGGTGTGAGTAAGGAGTGTGAGTGAGGAGTGTGAGTGGTGTGAGTGAGGAGTGTGAGTGAGTGGTGTGAGTAAGGAGTGTGAGTGAGTGAGGAGTGTGAGTGAGTGAGGAGTGTGACTGTGTGAGGAGTGTGAGTGAGTGAGCATGGTGAGTGAGGAGTGTGAGTGAGTGAGGAGTGTGACTGAGTGAGGAGTGTGAGTGAGTGAGGAGTGTGAGTGGTGTGAGTGAGTGAGAAGTGTGAGTGAATGTGGAGTGTGACTGAGTGAGGAGTGTGACTGTGTGAGTGTGTGAGCAGTGTGAGTGAGGAGTGTGAGTGAGTGAGGAGTGTGACTGAGTGAGGAGTGAGTGAGGAGTGTGAGTGAGTGACGACTGTGAGTGAGTGAGGAGTGTGACTGAGTGAGGAGTGTGAGTAAGGAGTGCGAGTGAGGAGTGTGAGTGAGCGAGGAGTGTGAGTGAGTGAGGAGTGTGAGTGGTGTGAGTGAGTGAGGAGTGTGAGTGAGTGGTGTGAGTAAGGAGTGTGAGTGAGTCAGGAGTGTGAGTGAGGGGTGTGACTGAGTGAGGAGTGTGAGTGAGGAGTGTGAAGGAGTGAGGAGTGTGAGCGAGTGAGGAGTGTGAGTGAGTGAGTGGTGTGAGTGAGGAGTGTGAGTGAGTGGTGTGTGTGAGGAGTGTGAGTGAGTGTGGAGTGTGACTGTGTGAGCAGTGTGAGTGAGTGAGCAGTGTGAGTTAGTGAGCAGTGTGAGTTAGTGAGGAGTGTGAGTGAGTGAGGAGTGTGACTGAGTGAGGAGTGTGAGTGAGTGAGGAGTGTGAGTGGTGTGAGTGAGTGAGGAGTGTGAGTGAGTGTGGAGTGTGACTGATTGAGGAGTGTGACTGTGTGAGGAGTGTGAGTGTGTGAGCAGTGTGAGTGAGGAGTGTGAGTGAGTGGTGTGAGTGAGTGAGGAGTGTGAGTGAGTGAGGAGTGTGAGTGAGTGAGTGAGGAGTGTGACTGAGTGAGGAGTGAGGAGTGTGACTGAGTGAGGAGTGCGAGTGAGGAGTGTGAGTGAGTGAGGGGTGTGAGTGAGGGGTGTGAGTGAGCGAGGAGTGTGAGTGAGGGGTGTGACTGAGTGAGGGGTGTGACTGAGTGAGGAGTGTGAGTGAGGAGTGTGAGTGAGGAGTGTGAGTGAGGAGTGTGAGTGAGCGAGGAGTGTGAGTGAATGAGGACTGTGACTGAGGAGTGTGAGTGAGGAGTGTGAGTGAGTGAGGAGTGTGAGTGGTGTGAGTGAGTGGTGTGAGGAGTGTGATTGAGTGGTGTGAGTGAGTGACTGAGTGGTGTGAGTGTGTGAGGAGTCTTAATGAAGATTAAAATAGGGGGACTGCACTGATTGCAACAACTACTGGAGCTTCTCCCCCATCAGTGTGAGAATGGGAAAGGTCCTTGCAAGGATTATTATTCAACATCACCTTGCCAGACACGCAGAGCAGATCCGTGTGGCGCCCCAATGTGGTTTCAGGCCAGGACGGGCCTGCAAGGACGCCATTGTCTTTGTCCATCGGCTACAGCAGAGGTGTAGAGAATTTCAGAAAAACTTACATCTCTGCTTTATTGATCTGGCCAAGGCCTATGATACCATCAGTAGGCCATGGCTCTGGTTTATTCTTTGTGATTTTGGAGTCCCAGACCTCTGATCACCATCATTAAGGACCTTCATTATGGTGGCCAGTCCTGGGTAAAGATGCGTGCCCAGGAGTCAGAACCATGTTCTGCTCTCTTTGGGGTGTGACAGAGATGTCCTCTGGCCCTACACTAATTAACATATTCTTCGACCACGTTCAAGAAGCTTTCCATGGATTTTCTGGTGAAATCTCCATCCTATGAGTGGAGGGAGTTATGGAGAAAGTGGAGTCGGTCGCCCTCCAACAAAAGTGGTGGGCAGAGGAGTGATGCTCACAATAACGAGCGGAGTGCCAGTCAACTGAAGCACACACTAGAGGGCACAAGCCACAGCACCTGAGTCTGTCCCTTGACCTCCTGTCAGCGAGCCTTCGACACTTCATGTGGCCTCCTCAATGTGCACCTGGCCTGGCACAGGCACCATGGTAACATCACCGTAACTTAGTGGCGAATGCCGGGTATTGGTATATATCAGCACTGGGGAGACAAAGGCGGCCGGGCTGATGCGGTCCTGGCCACCCCTCCCCTTTCATAGGTGCTACTCACTAACAGCACTTGTCCCAGCAGCCTGGTGAAGGCTACACGGAAGGTCTTTGCCTTTGTGCCCAGGTTTACAACTCGACGCTGACGTGGAGCCAATATGGCTCCCTGTGTGGGCCGCGCGCGTGGAGAGAGACAAATATGGCGCGTGTGCAGATGCTGTGTGGCCACCTGCAGGGTCACAGGGTCACGTGGAGCGGTCGCTTCAAGGTCAGAGGGAGGGAAGAGGGGTGAGATTGTGTCTGTGTGTGAGAGTGGATGTGAGTGGGTTTGCGGGGGATTGCATATGAATGTATGTGAATGAGTGTGTGAGTGTGCGTTTGTGTGAGGGAGTGCGTGTGTGAAGTCTTCGGTGGGGAGCAGTAGTGTGGCGGTTAGCGAGCTGCGCTATGAACCCAGCGACCCGAGTTTGATTGCAGCTCACGGCCAACACTAGTGATGATTATCTGAACCGGTCCTGGACATCCCCTAGGTCGACTTAGCCTCAAATGGGTACCTGGTGTAGTGTGTAAACATCACCACTCGGGAAACAAAGGCGGCTGAACATGGTGTTGGCCACCCACCCCCTCGTGTGCCGAGGCGGCCTTCATAGGTACTTGCTGACAGCACTTGCCCCAACAGTCTGTTCAGGCTATACAGGGATCTTTATCTTTGTTTTTTTGTGAGTGTGCGGCTGTGTGATGGAGTGCTTGTGTGAAGTTTTGGGGGAGGGGAAACGCCATGGCTGAAACAACATCATCTTTGGGCAAGGTGGGGTTGACCCTGCTGGTGCTGTCATGCCTCAAATATTGAAGGAAATAGCTGCTCCCTGTGAGTGGTTGGCTGATGTGTCATCTATTGAGGAAGTGCGATAGGTGGTCCGGAGCTTGAGACCATGTAAAACGCCAGGTAGAGATGATCTCTCAAGTGAACATCATTACAGCTGTTTCATCCACAGGAAGGGGTCCGCAGGATTGGAATGATGCACTTGTGGCCTCTTGCCAGACTAGGATAATTATTCAACATCACCTTGCCAGACATGCTGAGGAACAGGCTTAAGGAGCCCCAATATGGTTTCAGACTGTGGAGGTCCTGCACAGATGCCATTGTCTCTCTCCGTCTGCTACAGCAGAGGTGTAGGTAATTCCAACAGGTTGAAAAAAATAAGAGGCTTTACCCTTTCTGGAAATAATACAGGACGTGTGAAGATGTTCAAATGCCATATAGACACCTATTGCAAGGCATCAAGTCTGTATTAATGGAATTCTTTTGGTAAAACATGTGTAATGGTTCGATAGAGGCACACACACTCATGTGGAGGCAACACTATTTATTTAACACACAACTGTTACACACACTATACATAGGGTGGTGACCACCGTCCTAGTCTCACTAACACTCGGGTACTATTTTTCGGGTACTACTTGGCATGGCCAAGCCAGGAGGGCTTTTGCTTGGCCATGACGACTTGGGGCTTCAGTCTTCATGAGGCGTCTTCATCCCAGGCATGAACAGCCCCGCTCCCTCAGCGGTGCCCGCTTATGAGCTCCCCCAGCGTGGCCGGCCGAACCCCGGCCACGCCCCCCTTCTCGAACCTTCGAGAAGGCTCTGACCCCAACCACGTGACCCCAAGGTCCCCCCTGGGCCCGTGGCCCCCACCTTGATCCGGTCACGTGTCCAGCCGGGGTCACGCAAGAGTGCCACGGCCTGCCACAACCCCCGTGGCACTCGTCAACGGCCTCCGCACTGCCCGACCTGGCAGTGACGTCATCCGAACCAACCCGACATGGTAGTGACGTCATGTGTGTACAGACCCGACATGGTAGTGACGTCATGTGTGTACAAACCCGACATGGTAGTGACGTCATATGTCACTACACATGCAAACAAATATGCTCTGACAATATGTACATTGTGTTTGAAACTGTTTGGCCTACACCAGAGACAGTCTTTCTTATGGCCTTGGTCTCACCAGTGTTAGACCAGAGAATGCCAAAAGGCGAAAAACACAAAGGCAATGCAAATTTCAAAACTATATAAACTCGTTTAAAAAAGTTTTTGATAAACAACAGTTTTATTAACAACTTCGTTTAACTCACGGTTTTGTCCGAGCCGATTCCCCAGTTTAGGGACTGCGGCGTTTTTGACCTACACAAATATATAAATAATAAGTCGTCCATACAAAATGTTAATTGCTTTAAAGTAGCGAATTAATGCCGATTTTGATACAGGCATGCATTGTCACCAGATCTGAGTGCGTGTGCAAAGTGTGGCATTGATTGGACAATGGGAAGTGGGCACAATTTGTATTACAAGATTTGACCCGGACAAACAGAGGAATAGATGGGCTGATGTGGTATAGAAGGATATGGAGCTGATTGGACTTGTTGATGACTGGTACCAGTGGTGTCAAGATTGGCCTTTGTGGAGAAGGTTTGTGAAGGATGCTGCTGGGGAGTTGGAGGCAGTCACCCTCCAGCAATAACGGAGGGCAGAGGAGTGAAGCTTACAACAACGAGCGGAGCGCTGGGTAGCTAAAACATACAAAGTTGGCACAGTGGGGAGCACAGTTGATGCATCTTGCCAGTCATCTCAATCAACCCAATGCACCTGGGTCTGTTCCATGACCTCCTGGCAGCAAGCCTTCAACACTTCACGTGGCCTCAAAGTGCACCGACCATGGTGACACCGCCATCACTTAATGGCGAAGGCCAGTTTTTGGTGTTGTTGAGTGAGTTGGCGTGTGTGCGTGTATGTTTATATGGGGAGCGGTAGTGTAGCGGTTAGCGCGCTGCGCTATGAACCTGGAGACCCGGGTTCGATTCCCGCTCACGGCCAACACCAGTGACGATTATCTGAACCGGTCCTGGGCCTCCCCTAGGTCGACTCAGCCTGAAATGAGTGCCTGGTGCGGTGTGTAAACATCGCCACTAGGGAGACAAAGGCGGTCGGGCGTGGTGCTGGCCACCCACCCCCTCGTGTACCGTTCCGGCCTTCATAGGTGCTCGCTAACAGCACTTGCCCCTACAGGCTGTTAAGGCTATATGGGGAATCTTTGTCTTTGTATATATGTGGGGTCCGGCAAAACAACCCCCTACCTCCTCGTGGAACATCTTCGCCGGTGAGAAACATTTAGGCTGGCCTGCCTATGATCCACCCTGGGTTTAACCAGGCTGGATTGTGTGAGGAGCTCACAAATCCTTGAAAGATCTGGACAAAGTCCCATCAGTGAGCTCTTTTGGCAGGCAAGGCTGCATTGGCTGGGCCATGTAGCCCACATGCTCGGCCACCGCATGCCTAAACAGCTTTTGTTCGGCCGGATCGAGGGGGCGAAACGGGCGCGGCACGCACCGGAAGAGAGATGGAGTAATGTGGTACAGGAGGATGTGGAGGGACTTGCAGATGACTGGTACCAGCGGTGTCAAGATCGGCCTCTGTGGAGGCAGTCGCCCTCCAACAACAACGGAGGGCGGAGGAGCGGCGCTCACAACAATGAGCGGAGCGCCGGGTGGCTAAAGCACAGCAAGTTGGCATAGTAGGGGGCACAGGTGGTGCATCTGCCAGTCGTCTCAGTCAGTCAACCCATGTCACCTGGGTCTCTCCCGTGACCTCCTGTCAGCGGGCGTTCGACACTTCACGTGGCCTCAAGGTGCACATAGCCTGGCACAAGCTTCGTGGTGACGTCACCGCCAGTTAGTGGCGAATGGCGGTTGTTGTTTTCATGTGGGGAGCTGTAGTGTAGCAGTTAGCATGCTGAGCTACAAACCCGGTGACCAGCGTTCAATCCCCACTTACGGCCAACACCAGTGACGATTATCTTAACCGATCCTGGGCCTGCCCTAGGTCGATTTAGCCACAAATGAGTACTTGGTGCAGCGTGTATAAACCATCAGCACTGGGGAGACAAAGGCGGTAGGGCGTGGTTCTGGCCACCACCCCCACACGGGCACTGCCGGCTTTCATAGGTGCCGCTACTCGCTCACAGCGCTTGCTCCTACAAACTCCGTATCCCTTCGCCCTTATCTCTACCTGTCCACCAGTACGTACGTGTGACCGAGGTCGACAACACTGCCGAGACCTCGGTGGACATGCTGCCCACCTTCCTGGGTGACTGGCTCCGATGCGTGTATGGGGAGCACTACCCGGCGTGCAACTCCACCTCCTCCACCACCGGCAACAACAACGGCGACAACAACGGCGACAACAGCGACAGCAACCTCGGAGTGATCACCACGCAGGAGCTGTGCCAACTCAAGTCGCTCACCAGACACGACTGCCACATGAAGGTCTCTGATTGCCAGGTCGCAGACACTGAGAGTTCTGCCGGGAAGCGGGGTCTGTGGCCCCCCCCCACACCTCTGCAACCCCCATTGTAGGGGGCTGTGGGGGTGCAGGGGGCTGTGGGGGTGCAGGGGGCTGTGGGGGGTGCAGGGGGCTGTGGGGGGTGCAGGGGGCTGTGGGGGGTGCAGGGGGCTAGGGGGGGTGCAGGGGGCTGTGGGGGTGCAGGGGGCTGTGGGGGGTGCAGGGGGCTGGGGGGGGTGCAGGGGGCTGTGGGGGTGCAGGGGGCTGGGGGGAGTGCAGGGGGCTGTGGGGGGTGCAGGGGGCTGGGGGGGGTGCAGGGGGCTGTGGGGGTGCAGGGGGCTGTGGGGGGTGCAGGGGGCTGGGGGGGGTGCAGGGGGCTGGGGGGGGTGCAGGGGGCTGTGGGGGGTGCAGGGGGCTGGGGGGGTGCAGGGGGCTGGGGGGGGTGCAGGGCAATCCCCTGAGCTAGTGGTTCTCAACTGGGGATACGCGTACCCCTGGGGATACGTGGGGTGATTTATAAACGTGTGAAATTATACCATATATGAGCACCATTGGTAAATAATCACGTATGAAGCTGCCAATATAAAATAACTACGATAAAATGTTTATCCATATGTAATATGAGCCTATGTCCGGCTCACGTGGTGATCGGCTCTGCCGGTCCTGCTTTACAGCCAATGGGGGGGAAGCCTGGGAGCATGGCCCTGGCGTGATCGAGAGGTGCCAGCTCGGGAGATTGGTTCTGCTGGCTTTGGCCTCAGCCAATGGGAAAATAAGTCAGGGGTGTGAAATTTGAAAAAACACAGACACGAAGACCGATACACACTTAACTTTGGAAGAACGTAATCAACCAGGCTATGCGTTAATTGTGTGTTGACCGACCCTCTGTGTTGCATTGCATTACATTTCGAAATTTTTGCTAGGTTAGTTAATTTAGTGTGTCTCTCTCCCTGCCTCCTAATTTTTTCCAGCTTTCGTACCGTACCACTCATCGTGCTACTCATTGACATGCTAATTTCTCTAACCCCTCTCTCTCCGCCCCTGCTCCCCTCTCTCAAGCTTTTTACACCTTGCCACTCACCGTTTCCACTCATGGACATGCTAATTTCTCTAACCCCTCCCTCTCTCCCCGCCCCCGCCCCCCCTTTCTCTATTTAAGGCCTCGACACAGAGGCGTAGTTTCTCTTTGTGCCTATGTTTGCTCTCTCTCTCTACGTAACTCTGTGATATCTGTCTGCTTATATGTCTGTCTATGTTTCTGGTTCTGTGTTTAATCTCTCTCTCAAATTTAGTATTCTCAGGAAGAACGTAATCAATCAGATCGGGTGTTGACTGTTATGTTATCCGACTCTCTGTTGTATTACATTACATTTCTAAGTATACTAGATTTGTGTTTCTATTTAATTTATACCTGATGATGATTGCTTGTGTTGCAATAGAAACGTCGTATGCTAGTATTTAATTTAATTTATTATTTTATCTTTATACGTGACTTTACCGAAAGAACCAAAGAATGAATCAAAACCCGTTTGCGACCTCTGGTAAACCAGCCCCTCCCCACCCAGCCCCACCCCTCCCACCCCCCACCCAGCCCCACCCTCCCCACCCAGCCCCATCCCACCCAGCCCCAACCTCCCCACCCAGCCCTTCCCCACCCTCCCCACCCAGCCCCTCCCTCCCCACCCAGCCCCTCCCTGCACGACGGACGGACACAATAATCCCCTGTGGGCTGGTGGAACCAGTGGGTTCCTACCAGTATTGCTTTTCTGGACTTATTGATCGTGAACAATGTGGGCTACAAGAGGAACCAGCGAGGGTGAACAAATTACGTAATTTCGTGAGGATAGATTGAAATATTGATGTTCATTATTCATAAATTTATTTCTCAGAACCATGTTGGGTCAGGCAAGGGGGTAGTACTCGGTTGAATAAAATTAAACAATGGGGGGTTGAGAACCACTGCCTTAGGCATCTCTGCATGAGACCTCACAGCAGTTGAATACAGGGAGAGTGGTGGCTTTAGCGATGTCCACTCTGCGACAGGGGGATATGATGCGCGCTCTGTCTCCCCCTCCTCCTCACCACTCTTTTCTCTACCTCTCTCTCCCACCACCCCCGGTAGAAATTTGACCGCTACAAGTTTGAGATCACGGTGGGAATGCCGATACCGCCTAAAAACGGCGCCACCACCGCCAGCAACAACAACCAGCCCAACCTGGCGGAGGAGGACCCCACCAAGGATGTGGTGTTGCGTGCCAGCGGTGAGTTCCGTGCGGCGCTGCTGCCCCTGAAGCAGGGCAGCGTAATCGAGTTCAGCACAGTGCTGGAGGGGCGGCTGGGCAGCAAGTGGCCGGCGTTCGAGCTGCGCGCCCTGCGCTGCCTCAGCTGCATACGGAGGCTGGAGCCGGCGGCTACGTCGGCGCGCCAAGAGAAGGTGGAGCGGGATTGGCGTGCCGCCCTGCGCAGCGCCCTACGGTTCGCCTTCGACTTCTTCTGCTCGCCCGTGCTCTCTGCCGCGTGACACTAAGGTCACCACCATGACTGTGGTGATTATGTCGGTGGCCGAGTGGGTTAGCGAGTGGGTTGGTGGGTGAGTGGTTGAGCGAGTCGGTGGGTGGGCGAGTGGGTGGGCGAGTGTGTTAGTGAGCGAGTTTGTGGGCAGGTGGGTGAGTAGGCGTGTGAGTGAACGGGTGGCGGGGAGGGGGTGAATGGTTGGGTGGGTGTGTGAGTGAGAGTGATTAGGTGAGTGAGCAAGTGGGTTAGTGAGTAAGTGCGTGGGTGAGTGTATGGGTGAGTGAATGGATGAGTGGGTTGTTGAATGAGTGGGCGGGGCACTGCGGTGGTGAGATATTATCTCCCTCTCTTGGTGTACAGGATGTCGTGGGTTGGATTCCAACCCTGACGCCTGTATTTGTGGAGTTTGCATGTTCTCCCCATTGTAGCTTGCGTTTTTCTCGGGGTCCTCCGGTTTTTCCCGCCACAATTAGAAATATGCGTTTAGAGTATTTGGCTGCAATCCATTTCCACGTAATAAACCACTTGGTTGAGCTATAATTTGTGAAAAAGAGCTAATGGCTCTAGGCTTTACTTGGTAAAATAAAAATACTTTTAGTTTTAATAGTTTTAGTGTGTGGGTGAGTGCGTGAGTGAGTGAGCGATGCGGTGAGTGGGTTTGTAAGTGTGTGGGTGAAAGAGTGAGTAGGTGGTTGAGTTAGTTGGTGAGTGAGTCAATTTTTGGCCGTGTTTGTGAGTGTGAAGTGCCAGCCTTAATAAATGCTCACAAACAGCACTTAACCAGTCTGTAAGCCTACAAGGTTGAATGCAGATGCGAATTACATCAACCCATGGCCCAAATGATCATATTGTAGCTGCTGGTGATGTTGCAGCTCATGATGATGTTGCAAATGCTGACTTGATGTGATGCGCACAACCGCAATAAAGCTGCCCGTTGCACAATCGGCACGACCTTCAAGGATTGCTCTTACAGTCTCACCATCACCAGCAGCGTGTGGCTCTTGCCTAAGCGGAGATCATGGGCCTCTGCGCTCGCCGCACGATGCAACCACCCGGCACCTCAGCCCAGCGCCGAGATCAACGACTCCGACGGCTCCCCAGCTGAGCCGCCTCGCCAGAGACTCAAACCTCTTTCTGCATGAGGCTCCTGTCTCCCATCTGCTTCGCAGCAGGGCATGGTGGAGATGGTGGCAATGATGTTGGTGATTGTGGTGATAACAGTGGTGTTGGCGATGATTGTGGTGGTTATGGTGGTGGTAATGCTGGTGATGGTAATGATGGAGGCAGTGTGCACGTGGTGGGACTGTAGGCATCCATCCTCTCAAGTTTGCCGAAGCTAGTTCTTTAATATTTGAAGCATTTCCACATCACATTTAATTTTTTCCTGTGATAGCGTGAATGTGCGTGTCTTCGTGGTTGCATCTGCCAGTCATCTCAGTCAACCCATGGCACCTGGGTCTGTTCTGCCAGCAGGCCTGAGACGCTTTACGTGGCCTCAAAGTGCATCTAGCGTGGCACAAGTGCCATGGTGACGTCACCGCCACTTAGTGGTGAAGGGGATTGTGAATTTTTTGTTATTAACATTATTTCATGTTTTTTTTAGTTTGTCGGTTTTAACGGGGTTTTTGGTGCGTTTTGTGACCGTTAGGATATTAATTTTAACATTCTTGTTTGTGAATTTGTATTTGCGTCAATATTTGTGTTTTGTATTTGTGTGTGCGTGTTTATGTGTGCATGTTATATTTAATAAGGGGAGGGTAAGTGTTGCAGTTAGGGCGCTGCGTTACGAACCTGACGGCTTGAGTTTGATTCCCGCTCACGGCCAGCAACATTGACGATTATCTGAATGGGCCCTGGGCCTTACCCTGGCCGCCTCAAATGATTATTTCGTGTGGTGTGTAAAATATCGCCACTGGGGAGACAAAGGCGGTCGTGCGTAGTGCTGGCCACCCACCCCCATGCGTACCGTACTTCATAGGTACTCGCTAACAACATTTGCCCCAACAGTCTGTTAAGGCTATTCAGGGGATCTTTGTCTTTGTTGCATTAAATGTGGAGTACACTGTACACTGGTATTATAGTGGGATGTTAAGTGGGTAAAGTGTAGTGTACAGTAGTGTAAGAAATGTTATAGTGTGGTGTATGTATGTTACACTTATTTTGCACCGTGCATAGCCAACCGTGGTAATCGGTGGTGCAGGGGAAAGACAACAAACTTAACGCAATAAGCAGTTCTAAAGAAGTGAGTTTGCAGTCTAGATTTAAAAGTGCATCGCTCCAGTTGCTTCCGAATATCGGAAAGAAAGAGCGTTCCAGACGGCCGCAGAAGCGCATCTCAAAACACCGCTGGATGCGGTGATCATCTTCGTTCGATGACTAGCTGGTTTATGCTCCTTGACGAGATCAGTAAGGTATTGTGATTCATTTGTGGCAAGCACTTTGTGTAATGAGTACAACCTTATAATGTATTCACAGCTCTGTGAGCACTGGATGGACGTCGTCAGACTTTGCAGTACCCGTCACGACATGTCCAAAATTTTTTTTTTACACACTGCAGCTTGGTAATTTTTTGCCAGACATCAATACTATGCTACACGCCACCGTGTTGGCTATGTCATGACTCAACAGTGATCGAATGTGTCGTAGAGCCCTGATATGAAAATTACAGGACCAGACTCCATTTTTTATGTGATGCTCACATGACAGATGAGTAGAAAACGGATACACAATTTTATTTTCCTGAGTGCCATCCAACAAATCCACCGATTTTCATGGATTAAGCAGCGTCTTGTTTCGTTAAAACCACGTGCACCGTTATGAAATCTCGTGGAGGATCGCTCCACGAAACAAAATTGTTTCACTGTTCGGTTCGCAAGTACGAGCGAACGTTCACAAATCGGATGGTTAAAACATAACATCTTATGGCCATTCATAAGTGTGTATGTTTGTAATTCGGAAGTTGGTAAGTCGGGGAGTGCCTGTTTCACCTCTTGAATCTATTATCCACTCTGTGTTTCTCAGAATTTCTTGACTGATACCCAAATATTCTCCTTTCCTTCATTTGCCCCTGGACCGTTCCTCTCGTATCTCCTCCTGTCTGGCTGCTATCCAGCCCTAGATGGTGTGGCACTCTCTCTCTACATCCTTTCAAAACATCAATCATTTTCCATCCTTTCATTCTCCCATCCAAACCATCTTCCCTCCTCTCTCTCCTGTTTTCTCTAGAGAGGCAAGAAAACCTCACCCAAGGGGTTTTTACCTGCCACCATGAGGGGTGGACAGTCCTCTACTCGGGGCAGGAGACTGCCAAACAACAGGGTGTGGCTCTTCTTTTGAACAAAAGAATGAAGGGGGCGTGGGAGCGTGGTGGTGAGGTGTGGGAAGCTGTAAGCCACAGGATACTTTGGCTCGCCTTCCCATCAACCGGAGGCGAGGAGTGGTGGTCGTGGTTACTTATGCCCCCACCGAAGACGAACATCCGTGGAGGGATGCAGGCAAAGCCGATGAGTCAGATGCCTTCTATGACCTCCTGTCACAGGTACTGGCTAAAGTGGCCACTCGGAACAGAGTCATCTTGTTGGGTGACTTCAATGCCCGAGTTGGTCATGATGCTGGCACCTGGTCTGGAGTGATTGGAAGGCATGGGCCAGATCAGCTCAATAACAACGGTAGGAGGCTGCTAGATTTTTGTGCAGCCCATGGGCTTGTAATTACCAACACGCTCTTCCGACATCGGCGCATCCACACAATATCATGGATGCATGCCGTGTCCAAGCAAGAACATCTGCTGGACTACATAGTAACGGACCAGCGGATGCGAGCCCATGTCCTTGACACCAGGACCTACCGTGGAGCTGATCTGCCCTCTGACCATCGACTAGTCATCTGTAAGATGCACCTGCCATTCTTCTACTCTGGTGGTGGGTGTACACCCAGGACCCCATTCCAACCTAAAGTGGCCTGGTCTCATATTCTTAGGTTTTTTGGGTAAAGTCACGTAGGTAAAAAATTCAAATTAAAATAAAAATCACGACGTTTCGGAGGCAACACAAGCTTCCGTCTTCAGGTGGAACCGTCACAGCACGCTTACTGTATCGTCCCCCACGCTTGCTGTATTGATACAGCAAGCGTGCTGTGACGGTTCCACCTGAAAATGGAAGCTTGTGTTGCCTCCGAAACGTCGTGATTTTTATTTTATTTTACTTTTATTAATTTTTATTTTTTTACCGAAGTGACTTTACTGGAAAAACCTAAGAATATGAATCCTTGCAGTCACGAAAGCTTCAAATCTAGAATGGCCTGGTCTCATCTGATGAAAGTTGCAAGCGAGAATTTCATCATCGCTTGCAGCTGTGGTTGGCATCGTCCCCCACTCCTGATGTCGAGGGTAAATGGGCGAGGTTCAGGACTGTGACTCATGCAGCTTCAATGGCTGCTTTGGGTACGCGGTCCAGACCTCCCCAGAAACCCTGGCTGACAGAGGAGGTGTTCAGGATAGTTAAGAAAAAATGACAGGCCCACTCTCATCGGCTACAGCATCCCACGTCAGAGAATGAGGAGGCTTACCGCAGCCTTCGCTCGGAGGTTCGGAGAGCTGTAAGGCGCTGCAAGGATGGGTGGTGGTCGCGGGTTGCTGAGGAGATGGAGTCTGCCTCAGTGGTCCGCAATCACAAATCACTATTTAACTCCATCAAAAAAGAAACCTGCAGCGCCACACATTACCATCATTAGGGGGAAAAACGGTGATCCAATCTCCGACCCCCAGGAACAGGTTTGCAGATTTGCTGAGCATTTCTGTGAGGTCCTGGGGGAGGGGAAATCCCTCAAGCCAGGAAAACATGGCACAAAGTGGGGATAACCCTGCTGAGGCTGCGGTGCCTCAATATTGGAAGTCACCCCCTGTGAGTGGCTGGCTGAGGTGCCATCTGTTGAGGAAGTACTGAAGGCGATCCGGAGTCTGAGACCAGGAAAGGCACCGGGCAGAGATGATCTCCCAAGCGAAATGCTGAGGGAGGGTGGCGTTTGTGCACTTACTGCCCTAGATGCCATCATAACAACAGTCTGAACCACTGGATGGGTTCCGCAGGATGGGAAGGATGCCCTTCTTAAAGAGAGGGACCGCATAGACTGTAACAACTACAGAGGAATCTCACTCAGTGTGCCGGGAAAGGTCCTGGCAAGGATTATTCAACATCGCCTTGCTAGGCACGCTGAGGAGAGGCTTGCGGAGCCCCAATGCGGTTTCAGGAAAGGGCGGTCCTGCACAGATGCCATATTTTGTCCGTTTGCTACAGCAGAGGTGTAGGGAATTCCAACAAAACCTACATCTCTGCTTTATTGACCTGGTCAAAGCCTATGATACCATCAGTAAGCCTGGGCTCTGGGTGTTATTCGTGCTTTCGGAGTCCCTGACCCTCTGCTCACGATCATTAAGGACCTTCATAATGGTGAGCGGGCCCGGGTAAAACTACGTGGCCGGGAGTCAGAGCCTTTCCCTGTACACCTTGGGGTGCGACAGGGATGTCCTCTGGCTCCGACATTATTTAACATCTATTTTGACCACGTAGTTCGTGAAGCCTTCAATAGCTGTACCGGGGGAATTCCCATTTGGTACAGATATAATGAGAGGCTGATCGATGCCCGGGTGCGATCAAGGGATGGCTCCCTATTGGTCAACCACGTTATGTATGCTCATGATTTGGTAATAGCTGCTCATTCAGAAGACGAGTTGGAGACGCTGCTGCTGAGACTGGAGCGTGCCACTAAGAGGTGGGGCCTTACCATCAGCCCCACCAAAACTAAACACCTGCCTGGGTATTTTGTACCATCGGACACTCCACCCCCACAACTCCCAATCGGTGATGGGGCAGTAGTGGAGAGAGTGGAAAGTTTCCCATACCTGGGCAGTGTACTTATGACCTTCTACAGTTTAACAGCAGAGGTCTCACTCCGAATCAG